CAAGGACAAAAGTTAGCACTTGGTGTGGGAAAGAAAACTCTGCCAAACGGTGTAAATTTGGGGGAGGGAGGGAGAGATGGGTTCCAGTGTGGTTATCCCAGGTGCCTGGGGGTAAGGGAAGTTGTTCCCCACCTAGATCTGACCGGAAAAATACAGATTAGCTCTGCTCTACCACACAGAAGTAACTCAGACAACCACCTCCATTTCCCCTCTGTCCAAAAGTGGGTTTGGGGGGGTAGCTGTGGTACTAGTTTGAGGGTCCCATTTGCTATGCCTCCCCTCTCAGATTTGATCTGAGCAGAAGAGGGCAGTGCCATGAAGAGCTTTTCCAGCCCAGAGATGTGGCTCAAACCGCTAGGAAGGGACGGGTAGCCAGCTGGTGTTGCCATGGCAACTTCCTCCCTGCGCTGGATCGAAGCATCCATCCTATGGGCAAATCAGAGCCGGCTACTCCAGCTTCTCCGCCCTTCTCTTAGGCAGGGAGGGGGGAGGGAGGGAAGGGAGGAACTGGACGCCGAAAACACTTGGCCGGGCTAAGGAACACTATCCTCAATTCCAGATCCTGATGTAGAACCCGTTTGGCATCTGCTGGAAACACAATATATCCCTGCTCCCCAGCTATACCCCACGGCAGTGTGGCAGGCCTGTCCATGTGGTGCATGTGAACTGGTTAGGAAGAGCAGAGAAATGGGCAGCCAGACTGCTTCCCACCCTCAGTTGTTCAAGTTCTCCAAATCCCCATCTTTAAACCACTTCAAAGGAGGAGAGTCTAGCCTTACCTTAATCATTAAGAATGCAATAAAATTACCCTATTAAAACGATAAAAGCTAACATTTTGAAAATCAGGCTTTTCCCTGCCCAAATCTACAGATTTTTCTTTACAGTCGGCTCAGAAACAACTCTCACTTGGTAATAAGACAGATCAAAGCTAACACTAGCTCATGCCAGGTACCTCATGCCAGGTACCAAACTAAGCCCTATGCATAGCAAGCAGCAGGATAATTAAAACCAGAGATGCTAGCTTCCCTCACTTCCTGTGAGTGACCTTGAACGAAGTCCTGTATCTCTGCCTCAGTTTTTCTCATCCCCATGTGGAGTTGGGAATGTTACTATAACAGTAATACGTGGAAGCACTGTGAGGTAGAAATTACAATAGAACCTTTAAAGTGCCTAGAAGGACATCTAGCACACAGTAACCGTTTAGAAATACTGGCCCTGCGGAATCTGTTCTTCCTCAGACAGATGAGAAAAACCAGGATCATATGTCTAAATCCTCCTTACCCCCTTTCCAATCACAAACCCAGGCTGAGTAATAAAGACACAGATACATTTTAAAAAAAAACCAAACTGTCCTCAAGTGCCTGCTTCTCTAAAACCTCTGCATCCTTAGGGAAGGGGCAAAGGGGAAGAAATGCATTCAAAGCACGAGAGGAAAGATGTCCTTTGAGCAGGAATTCCAACAACCTGCAGTGCCGGACCAGCCTCCTGGCCATTAAAGGTGGCTAGAAAAGGTGCAGAAAGAGAGGGTCAAGCTTTCTTTGCCCATTTGAAGGACTAAGACTCTTAAATCCAAAGCAAGAATGTGCTTTGTCCCACTTAAGGCTAATGACAAGAAGTCTCATCTCCCTGTTCCTCAGGAAACTAGCTGAAGGGTGAGGTATGCATCTGGAACACAGATTTGGCCTGATCTGCTAGATGGAAAGGAAGTATTTGATATGAGCTAGAAGCAGTAACAAAGGCAAGGATCCCAGATAAGCCCAACACCTGTCAGGGACAGAATTCTGAAACAGAGCCATCAAGGACAGACAGGCAGAAAGAGGAACAGGAAAGAGGCAAGAGACAGGTGAAGGCAAGCCTGCCCTGACTACCCCCTGCTCAGCCCATCTCTGCCCACTATAGCCAAGAGATTATTCCAACTTCTTTAGAAATTAGTTCAGTGCAGTGCTGTTCTAAAGTTATACAATACATGCAAAAGGCCTCTTTCAGGAGGAAATTAATGACTTTGAAAAGAACAAGAGAAATTAAGTAGCAAGACAACATCCCTTACTTCTAACTCTGACCAGACCCTCATTATTCTTCTGGAAATGAAAGAAGACTTTCTCCCTCCCCCTCCCAAACTTGAGGCAGCAAGGATCTTACAGAGACCCAAACTGAACTCTCAGCTCAGCAGACAGCCGCTCCTGAGACCGCCTCACCTGGGAACCATTTTCTACACAGTAAAATCTGGCCTTTTAAAGCAGAGAGAGAGAGACAGAGAGAGAGAGACAGACAGACAGACAGAGACAGAGACTCAGAGATACAGAGAATCAGAGAGACAGAGAATCAGAGAGACAGAGAGACAGAGATAAGAGTCGAAGACAGAAAGCATGCTACTGAGTTCTGAAAAAGAATTGGAAATTTCAGTTTAGTCTTGGCTTTCTGCATGACACATTGGATGACCTTGGGTTACACAGACAGACAGACAAGACAGACACAGACACAGACAGACAGACACACACATATACATCAAGGCCAGGAACCAGTGTGGCTCACGCCTATAATCCTAGCTACTCAGGAGGCTGAGATCTGAGGATCATGGTTCAAAGCTAGCCCAGGCAAAGCCCCTGTGAGACTCATACTTTTATCTCCAATTAACCACTCAAAAACTAGAAGTGATGCTGTGGCTCAAAGTGGTAGAGAGCTAGCCTTTAGCAAAAAGAGCTCAGGCCTGAGTTCAAGCCCCATAACAGACAAAAAAAAGAAAAGAAAAAGAAATATATATATATATATATAAACATGCATACATATCACACATCTGGGTTTCAATCATTCTCTCTCTCTCGCTCTCTCTCTCGCTCTCTCTCTCACACACACACACACATTCACATGTATACAAATGCCCCCTCAAATCCATCTGAGGGTAGAAGGACTAGACAAGATGATTTCTAATTCTCTTCCAGGTGAAACACAAATTTGAAGAAACCCACTGGGGGGAAAAATCAGATGCACCTTTAAAAATTCACTAATATTCCATGAATTTATCTGTTGACTTATGTAAAACCTAGACAATAACTTGTGGTTTTCAATAATAACCAGTGTCTGACCATGGCACGGGCATGACATTGCGGGGGGGGGGGGGAAACAACAGATCATGTCTGCCTCTAATATCTGACAAACCCATACACCTGCCCAGCTTGGCTCTTGAGACAAAAGTGGCCTGGTGAACTTCCAACAAGCACCAGGCCATAGGTGAGGGCTAAAAACCTCCTTATCTGGGCTGCTGGGGCTGCCTGCCCAGGTTCCCTCTTTGCAACTGCCCCATTCCCCAGACCCCAGGCCAGTCTAATTTCTTGTCTCTTGAGTTTGCTCCAGGGGAGGCCACTGACTTAGGAAGTGCCCTATTCCTCCTCAACTTGCCTTCTCTCCCAGAATTATAAAGCAGCCTCCCTGAGCCACATCATGGGGGAAGTTCAGCTTCTGAAACTCAATGATTGGTTCTGTAAAATGGTGATTCCATAAGATGTCTGTGCAGTAACCATCTTTCCTCTGCACCCACCTCCAGGTCAACAGCACGACAGACAGATCAGAGAGGTCTGTCTCACCTCTTACAGACCCTGGGGAACTTTTCCTCCGTTCTCCATTGGCAGCCTTCAGGTGAGCACCCATCACCATCCCATAACATCCCACCTCTCCCTCAGAGAGCAGGCAGACCAGACAAGGGTGCCAGCAGGCAGGGCCCCTGAACGCCCTAGACTCAGAGACTAGATGTGGTACATTCCTTCATTTTCTAGACAATCCAATTTGTAAACCCAAGTCTTATAAGAGCCCATGAATCCATCTTGTTCCCCAACCACACACTTCTGGTCCCCTCACTGAATTCACAAACTCTCAGGTTTTCAGCTCATAAAACACTTTTAATGCCACTCTCCCATCACAGCCTTGAATCTGAAGAAACGGAGGCTAGGGGCAGCACAAACTTGCCCAAGGTCACTGCTTGTAAGTAAAGAATGAAGACTCATCATCTCTGCACTCTTTGGGAAACTCTCCCCCAAGCCGTCCAGCTACCCCCCACCTGTTGTCCATTTCCTTTCCTCGCCCCAGCACCAAATCCAGTGCTCTCCTTTCCCACTCCCTGCTCCCAGGTCCTCAAGAACAGGTTTTCCAGCCCCTCTTAGCCCCTGGGGCTTTGCTAAGGTTTCACAGGCCTGGCAGGATGGCGGCTGGATTCAGCGCCTAGAATGGCCATTCCGGGGACAAGAGCCTCCCCTGAGGTCAGGGTCACACACCGAGGGGCACACAAATGTAAGGCACTGCCTTAACCCATCCTCCAGGAAGAGGTGGAGGAAAGAGAATAGGCCATCCCCTGGCGGGCTCCTGTGGTCGGCCGCCCCAGTCCTATTAACCAGAAGTCTGGAGCCCCAGACAGTGCGGGAAGGGGCTTAGGGGAAGAATGGGGACGCTCGAGGCCTTGGGCGCCCGGCGGGAGTCTTGAGCAGGGAGCCCCCTAGATGCAACCCAGACAAAGATGGAGAGGTAAGGTCTGTGCGCCACCTCCAACGGCTGGGGCGGAAGGGAAGGGGGGCGCGTCGGAACCCCAGGAGACCAGGGCCAGGGTTTGAAGAGTGGGTACGCACTGGAGACTCGGGGAATGGATGGGATCCAAAGACGAGTCGGGTGGCGGCACCTGTAAGGTATAGGTGAGCCGGGAGAGTTGGGTCCAGGAGAGCCAAGGGCCCACCTGCGGGGAGGGGGGGGGTGAAGGCAGAAGACCTGGTGGAAGGGGCCGACCCCGGGGAGAAGGCTGCAAGAGGGCGCAACCCAGACGCCCGGGTCCCGCGGGAGGAGAAGGCGCCCCGGGGCGACTCCCGGAAGGGGGTCGGGGGTGGCGGGGAGGCCGGCCACCTCTCAAGACGCCCCGATCCCTGGAGGGGGCCCGGACCCCAGGACACTCCCCAGGGGTCGGGGACCCGGGGGCCGGAGGGGGGTCGGTGCCGGGGGCCGGGGGTGGGTCGGGCACTTGCCTGCGTCCTCATCATCGAAGGAGTTCATGCACGGGAAGTAGATGGCGAGCGCCTCGAAGGAGGCGGACAGGCTGAGGCGGCTCTGCGAGCGCTCCATGCCCGCGCCGGCGCCCGGTGCCTCGGCCGCGGC